GATGGATGGATGGATGGATGGATGGGTGGATGGATGGATGGATGGATGGATGGATGGATGGATGGATGGGTGACCACTAGACGCAAAGAGAATGTTGATTACTTCACCATCATTATAACACATAGGACCACATGTATAAAATCCTACTGAGTCCCTATAAGTTACTGCATTGAAATCTGAGCTCTAACTCTGACAGAATAATATAGTTACAAAGTCAGCTCAGCCTAAAATCCAAAAACAGTGCTTGACCATATAAGAATTCCATCATTTCTGCTCTCTACTTCTGTTAGCCTCGATATCATGAAATTTTGCTTGTAGCAAAGAACGGACACCACCTGTAGGGCTGGCTGCTCCCAGGAGGAGTGAGGCCCCAAAGAGCCATGTGTGCACGGCAGACCCTGAAGACGCTGTGGGTCGGGTTCCAGACCACCGCAATAAGGCGAGTGCCGCAATAAGGCGAGTGCCGCAATAAGGCGAGTGCCGCAATAAAGCGAGCGAGTTCCGCAATAAAGCGAGTTGCAATTTTTTTGCTGGTGGAGGGTCTTGCCTTCGGTTTGTTAAAAACAACATCAAAGCAAAGGGCAGTAAATGAGGTATGCCTGTGCTTGGAAACCTGCCCGCTGAAAATTGGTTCGGGGTGGTCACCTGGCCTGGGCTTGGCCAATTAGAGCCTCTCCCGGGACACTGACGACTGTGAACTGAGAGCTGGGAGGACGTCATGACGGAATGAAGTTCACGACAGGGTTAGAGGTCGCGAAACGTCGCTGTCAAGGTCCCCAGGGCTGCCTGGGTGTCCAGCTCCCTGCGCATCCACAAGGCAGCGAAGCCGGGAGCTGAGGTGACCTCCCAGCAGAAGCTCCCAGCCCAGCAGCAGCCCCCCGAAGGCTCCCAGGAGGCCGCAGGGACCTGCTCACCTGCGAGGAGTCACACTTCCTCAGCTCCTTCTCCTTCTTGGCCAGGCGCTTCTTTTTCTTGTGAAGAGGCTTGGACTCCAAAATCATTTCTTCAAGTTCAAAGGTGGGGTCGCAATTCAGCCTGCCCTTCTGCGAGGAAGACAGGCGGGCTCACTCCCTGGACCCCC